TTTATTCTCTATTTGATTATGTTTATCTGCAGTTAGTTACACGAATTCAAACATGAAGCTTTAATAAGTTGTACTTATGCATAATTTACTTGTAATATTGAATTTTAAGTAATAAACATTCAATATACAGTAGTTCATTCATAAAAAATGGTTTTTAATAGTCTTTATCAAATATTTTATAATATAGTATAGATAATATAAAAACTAGACTAAATTACAATTTTAATTTTTAGATGTCATCGTTTCAAGGTTCCATCATAGTATGAAAAAATTACGTTCCTAAGAAATGTCACCATCATGTTTTGTTGTATATCCCTATATTTTTCTAATAACATAAAGTTGATGTAACCAGAATGGTTTTAGGTTTTTTTTTTTTTTTTTTTGTTTAAAGTCTTTCCTTCAACGAAGGTTAGGTTCAAATCATTGACTATTTTATTTTTTTCTGACTTGATACAAAACCTTCTTTAAATTATTGAAGTGGGATTTGTTTTTTTATCAGCTTTTTATGTGTTTATCTATAACGGTGGTCTCAAACTATCGTTAAACCAAGGGACCTAAGCCAAAGCGAAATACAAACCACAAGATCATAGTTATTGTTAGCGAAATCGAGTTATGAAAACCAGAGTTTTGATAAATCATAAGGATAGATCTTTTTGTAATTTAGGGGTTGTTTACTAAACACTTACTTGGTAAGTGCTTACCGGATAAATTTCCTTATTGGATGAACATGAGAATGACAAAGAATCTTACCGCATAAGAGCGATGAGAATGGTGGAGAGTCTTACCTGGTAAGTGAGGATGACGACTCTTACCCAGGTAAGCGCTTACCCAGTAAATTGTTGCATTCGATATGTTTTGATGTACTAAAATCTTGCGCATCAAAATAAATCATAGTATTGACTCCTATCGATAAGCATTTACTGGGTAAGCAATTGGGTAAACGGTTCCTTACTCATTTTTTATTTATATAATAAAAACATGTAAGTTATGTAATAAAAACATGTAAGTTATGTTATATAATTTATGGGATGCATTATTATGGCTTCCCTTTTTCACAAAGGCCACTTGAGTACAAAATCGCAAATCTTTTCTAAAATCCCATTATTATTCTTCCCATTCTACCCTTTTATTAATACTTATCTATCATAAATTTTGTATATAATATTATAATTAAGAGAGTCGATGAAAACAACTCTAGCTTTATCATAAAAAGAACAGTAGATTGGTGGGGGTCATGGACACCAAAAATCGCTTCATCTCTAAGCACACAGTATTTATGTCGTTTCAATAGGAGGCTGGTATATTTATCGTGTCTCTCCCATCTCTGGCAAAATCAAGCTCTCTTGGCTGGTTGGTTAGAGTTTAAATATCAGTAAAAAAGTTATTTTACTGTATAGTTAGAGTTACTAAGAAGTGATCAGCTTTTTCTAATTTCTATTTAATAAAAAAATTATAACATTTAATATAAATTAAAAAACTAGGAAATCTGTCTTTTTATAAGCCACATTTTGTTTCTAATTTCTTATTTCCTTTCGTAGATTATATGACTTACAGAAAAACTAAAATATAGAAGAATGAGAAACTTTGCATCGGATTGAGTTGCTACTTTGCAACTAAAAAAAAAATAAGGATTATAATTTCTTTTATTTTAAATATTTTACTGGTTAATTTTACAAATATGGGTTCAAACGAAAACAAGAAACAAGTAAGAAAATACAAAAATTCTCATATCACATGCAATTTCAGAGTCAAATCACATATGATTAGAAAACAGATCACACCATATAGGTCGTAAGGTTTAAGAGCGTGTCCCCGTGGTTTGATCACATGCCTAATCACATGTGAATTGACTCAAATATCACATGAATATAGGCGTTCTTGTTTTCTCATGCTTTAAACTTGTTCTTGCTTAACCTCGACCCTAATTTTAATAAATGAAAAGGATTTATTTTGAAAACGTGTGAGAGACAAGAAGACAACATAACCTAAAATCGTACCATGATCCCACATTTGTACCATAAAGGAAAATTTGGTTGATGCATTCCCTCTTTTTTTATATTTAGTTTCTTAATTATTCAAAAATCTAATAAATTATATTTATATCCATAAACATAGTAAATTACGGTTTTGGTGTCAATCGTTTAAGCCTCAATGTTCACATTTTATTTTGGATTTGGTCCCTTTTCCTAAAGTTTGTCCCTTTTTTTGTCAAGTTTAAAGAGAAGTTACCATTTTACCCTTTTATCTATTTTTGACAAATTTTTAAGTTTTTTATTTTCCAATTCTTGAATTGAGAAATAGAGTTAATTATGATTTTGGTCGTCGTGTTGGAACTTCCCCATCCACCATTTTTATCCTTACGACATGTATCCCCATAAATATCCCCACCAACACCAATCTCCTTTTCTTTCCTTCCCCTCCAGTGATTTCATGTCGTGCACCCCCACCACCACCATCTGTTTTGGCTTGTGGGTTGCCGTAGATGGTGATTACAATGATGGAGATGGTGGATATGGTCAAAGAACATAGGTGGTGGAGATGGTGGTTACGCGGGGATATGGTTACGACTAAGATTAGTGGTTATGTGCATGGTAAGGAGAGAGAGAGAGAGAGAGAGAGAGAGAGAGAAAGAGAGAGAGAG